ATTCATGCTTGCGCATATCTTTCATATCATGCCTCCACGAAGAGTTGTTTTGTCCTGCTAGGAGAAATGCGGGGATCAAGGGGTCCTTAATACACCAAAAGTGCAACCCCAAGGAGAGGTCACTAATGTTGAGTTTTGGGATGCTATCTGGATGTTGAGTCAAGGTGTGAGCAACCAAGTTGGGCAACAGAGAGGGGTTCGATAGGATGTTGCTGATACATCTAGAATCCGTGAGTTCTTGAAGATGAATCCTCCAGGGTTCACTAGTTCAAGTGTCACTGAGGATCCAAAAAACTTTATGGGAGAGTTGTAGAAAGTGTTTGAGGTGATGCATATTGTAGATTCTGAGTGTGTGGAGTTAGTTGCATACCAACTGAAGGGTGTTTCTAGGGTCTGGTACGACTAATGGAAGAAGAGTAGAGCTGAAGGAGCATCAATTATGAGCTGGGTTGTGTTTGAAGGTGCCTTCATGGGGTGTTTGTTTTCCCGTGAGCTGAGAGAGGTCAAGGTAAGAGAAATCCTCACTCTTAAGCAAGAATCCATGAGTGTGCATGAGTACAACCTCAAGTTCACTCAACTATCCCGTTATGCTTCGGAGATGGTTGCTGACGTGAGGAGTAGGGTAGGCTTGTTTGTTTCTTGGTTATCTCGTATGTCAAGCAAAAAGGGGAAGACTCCTATGTTGATAGGAGATATGGACACAACAAGGCTAATGATCCATGTGCAGCAGATTGAGGAAGACAAGTTGAGAGATAGGGAAGAGTTCCGTAACAAGAAGGCTAAGACAACAGGTAATGAGTCTGGGCAGCAGAAGGGTAATGCGAACCGATCATCTTTTCAACAAAAGCCAACTAGAAATGCTCCATCATCTGCTAGTGCACCTGCACCAAAGAACAGAGGTGAGTTCATGAATTAGAATTCGCAGATATTCAGAGCTATACCTACTCAATCTCAAGGTAGTGTGGCACAAGGGGCCAACCGGACTCCTGCATGTGCTAAGTGTGGTAGGAACCACCCATGAGCGTGTCGTGAAGGCTCCACTTGTTGCTTCAAGGGTGGTCAGACAAGTCACTTCATGAGAGAGTTCCCCAAGAACATGCAGGGTAATGGTAATGGGGGAAATAGAGCCCAATCTTCTTTAGCGGCTCCAGCAGACAGAGCTGCACCTAGAAGAGCTACTTCAGGGACAGACGGAGGAGCAAACCGTTTGTATGCTATCACTAGTCTCCAAGAGCAAGAGAATTCACCAGATGTTGTCACTGGTATGATCTAGTCTCCAAGAGCAAGAGAATTCACCAGTATGATCTAGTCTCTAAGAGCAAGAGAATTCACCAGATGTTGTCACTGGTATGATCAAAGTCTTTTATTTTGATGTATATGCATTGCTTGATCCAAGTGGGAGTCTATATTTTATGACTCCATATATTTCTATGAGATCTTATATCCTTCCTGAGCAACTTCTTGAGCCCTTCAGTGTTTCTACACCTGTTGGTGAGTCTATTCTAACTGAGAGAGTTTATCGTAATTGTACCATTTCAGTCAATCACAAGGACACCATGGTTGACTTACTCGAGTTAGACATCATGGACTTTGATGTTATTCTAGGTATGGACTGGATTCATGCTTGTTATGTCTTAGTTGATTGTAGAGCTCAAGTAGTTAAGTTACAGTTTCCTAATGAGCCAGTTATTAAGTGGAGGAGTAGTTCAGTAGTGCCTAAAGGTCATTTTATTTCATACCTTATGGCCAGAAAGTTAGTTTCCAAGGGGTGCATCTATCACTTAGTCCGAGTTAATGACTCTAGTGTTGACACATCACTTATTCAGTCAGTTCTAGTTGTGAGTGAGTTTCCAGAGGTCTTTCCAGATGATCTTCCAGAGTCCCTTCTCAGAGAGAAATAGACTTCGGTACAAATATTATTCCTGATACTCGACCTATCTCTATTCCTCCATATAGAATGGCTCCAGCTGAGTTGAAAGAGTTAAAAGAGCAGTTTAAAGATCTTCTTGATAAAGGTTTAATTCAACCAAGTGTCTCACCTTGGGGTACTCCCGTCTTATTTGTGATAAAGAAAAATGCTTCTCTTAGGATGTGTATTGATTACCACCAATTGAACAAGGTTACTATAAATAATAAGTATCCTCTTCCGAGAATTGATGATCTTTTCGATCAACTTTTAGGGTGCCGCTTGCTTCTCTAAGATAGACCTTAGATCTGGCTATCATCAGTTGAAGGTAAGAGAGAGTTATATTCCAAACACAGCATTCAGGACCCGCTATGGTCATTATGAGTTTCTGGTTATGTCTTTTGGCTTGGCTAATGCTCCTGCAACGTTCATGAACTTTATTAATAAAGTGTTTAAGCCTTATCTTGATATGTTTGTTATCATATTTATTGATGACATTCTGATTTATTCGAGGAATAAGGATGATCATGCTAATCATCTCAGAGTAGTTTTCCAAACTCTCAAAGATAGAGAGTTGTATGCCAAATTTTCCAAGTGTGAATTTTGCTTGGGTCCGTGGCGTTCTTAGGCCACATTGTATCTGGAGAAGGGATACAAGTTGCCACTTAGAAGATTGAAGCAGTGCAAAACTGGCTCAGACCCACATCTCCAACGGATATTGGGAGTTTCTTGGGATTGGCTGGTTATTATAGAAGGTTTGTCGAGGGATTCTTATCTATTTCGTCCCCGTTGACAAAGTTGACTCAGAAGACAACGAAGTTTTAATGGTCCGAAGTTTGTGAGAAAAGCTTTCAGAAATTTGTATAACTATATACACTTCTGATGTTTGTAATTGTATAAATTTGCTATTTTGAGTTTATACAAAGATAACTTAATTATACAAATATATCCGCAAATTATACAAATCCACGAATTATACAAATGTAGCAACTTAAAGTATAGGTACAACCCGTTATGCAAACAATAGCTATGGAGCGTAATTAAGTTTATTATTGTGGCTATTTGCGAAAGTTCCTCATAAAAAAAATAAAACTTAATAAGAATTTGGTGGATTGAGTTATGATTCAGAATTTAGTCCATTTCAATCCAAGTAACTTGACTCGTTTATTTATTAACTCAATTAGATTTAACATGCCCAAATTCAATTTAACTCAGTCGTTTGATTAGGGTTGTTCAAAATCAAACAGAAAAAATTATTGGTTTATCGATAATGTGTTATTTGTTCGATGGTTTCGGTAACAATTTTGATTCTTTTATTATCATGAATTGCTTTTGAACGGGTTGAGATTTTTTCTTAACGAGTTATCTATAACCTCATAGTAAATTAAAAAAATATATTTATACCATTTAGTATATAAAGTCCTTGACATAGAGTTTAGTTTCATACGTGTATTAATGACTGCTTTTAACTCTCAAAAATTCTAAAATGTGAATATCTTTTCTTTTGAGAAAGATGCAATCTGTCAACTCATATGCATGATTTATTTGGTTTGTCACCTTGTTTGTAAGTGCTTTTCAATGATTTTTTTTAATCAAATCTTAACGGTTAGACCGATAAATCAATAATCGATCGGCCATTATCGTAATAGTTCTACAACGATTTAGCATGTATACAAACCACCAATAAATTGAATCGATAAATTTCAAAACCAAACCAAGCCAATCAATACACCTCCCTACATTTGATACTCCTGATTGTCATCATTAAAAGAAATTAGCAATAAATTTTTTTTACCAATAATAATAAAAAAAAATTGATTATAATATTTATTAATGAATTATCAAAAAAAATTGCTAGCTACAAACTAGTGGAGGATTAGCAAAGGAATTAATATCCTAACCAATTCCTTTTTTCCCCTAATAAAGGGAAAGCCATAATTAGAATTTAGAGGCATTTTAACATCTTGGCCAGAAGATGAAATAAAATGATGATCTTTTTTCTTTTATATGGAAAGGATATTGCATGATAAAAAAATTTCTTTACGGAAAAACACTTGCTTAATTATTAATTCTAGTGTGATTAACTTGAATAAATGAGTAAAAAGATGCGTAAAATCTAATGTATATAGTCGGAACCAGCTATTAATTAAATTTCATTAAAATTAATAATCACGTGAATAATCTATTATTAAAATCTCATTAACGCTAGTCATGTAACCTCTTATATTATAAGACTACAACTCAGACTCACCTAATTCATATAACTTAAGAATTAAGATTTGCATTTAAAAAATAAAATCTTAAGTAATTATACTTATATACAATCATTTTAATTGAAAAAAAAACATAGTCTGTTTGTATAGATGAGAATAATATCTTGATTAACTTTGTAACTTAGCATTAGTAATTAGGGATAAGGGTCTGAAAAATACCCAACTTTGGTCGAATTTGCTGTTGCGATACTAAACTTTCATGAGGACCTATTACCTCCCTAGACTATTTAATACCATATTTTAAACATATATATTTTCCCACGTGGACATAAAAAATAATGCAAAATTATAAATAGTAATGTGTCCACGTGGGCACTTATATACCTTTAAAATACACTATTAAATAGTTCAGGGGGGTAAAAAAATACGGTATTAAATAGTTTAGGGAGATAATAGGTCCTCATGAAAGTTTAGTATCGCAATAGCAAATCCGACCAAAGTTGAGGCATTTTTCAGACCCTTATCCCTAGTAATTAATATTAATTAATTATTTTTAGTAGAGGTAAGTGTGAATTGAGGCCCAATTGAGTGAGAACAAAATCTATAACAAAAAGTACTTTAGCTACTGTTTTTTGTTTACCAGTAACGACATTTTGACTTATGGTTGTATTTTGTTTTTTTATTCATTACAAATGAATCATCCTTTTTTATCTCTACTTTTTTTTTCTTTTTGTCACCATTTTGTATATTCTTTTCATATTCAATATTCATCATATCCAATCCCTCATTTCTCAATTTTACACTTTGCACCCTACAAGAAAATATTCTATATATAGGCATAACTTAGGGTACAGTATCAAACCACCTGAAAAAGAAAAAAAATGAATGGAGGCGGCGAGAATAATCATGTTTTTCCATGGGAGACTAATGATGTTTGGTCGTACCTGAACTTGAATGACAATCAAATTGGGAGTGGAGTGACGTTTGAGGGTGACAAGTTGCCAGATCCAACTAGATCTGATACTTATCAGCCGCTGACAGTTGTTAATGAGGTGATTGAAGCGAGTACCAATGTTGGTAAGAAGAGAAGTCCACCCAACCGAAAAAAGAACGGTAAGAGAATTGCTGAATTAAATTCTGGTGCTGATGAAACCGGAGATAGAGGAGGATTAGAGCATGAGATACACATATGGACGGCGAGAGAAAGGACAAAGAAAATTGGAATCTTGTTCGAGACTCTCCGTGCTTCGATTCCTAATCTCCCTGCTAAGGTAAAATAGAAATTCTCTCGATGACATACCTTATTTTTTATCATCCGATATCTTATCGATCAAAAGGGAAATAATTCAATAAATTTTATGATTAGCTGAAACAGTTTTTTTTTGTTATTTTCCTTTTATTGTCTTCCGCAACCTTAATTAATAATCAAAATCAAGTCATCGAGAATTATTGGGAAAATGAACATGAATTTTTTAAAAATAAAATAGAAACTTGTAAAATGATTTAAAAAATTAGTTCATTGGTTGGTTCTTTTTGGCAATCACATATGATAACCCTTTTCATACGTGATGGTCCCATTTTTTCCAACTTTCTAAATTGAGTAAATAAATCTTAGGAGAATCTTTTTAGGAAGCTTACTAAAGGAGACATGATTCTATGTGAAAATGTAACTTGATTTCCATGTGTGTATGTATATATATATATATATACCAAAATATTTTTTAATCTTGTAATCTTAAACATATCATGTGGAAGTTAAATTTAAAAATTGACAAAAATGAAAGAAATATTATTTAATGTTTTGAAATAAACTAAAAAAAGTAAAAAATAGAGAGACTATTTCTAGTAGACCCTCGACTCAATTGGAATAAATTTATTTTGTGATATACACATTTTCCTTATTACTAATTTGTACATCTCAACATGTTAATTCCAAAATAGAATAATAAGACGTATTTTGTTTTACAAAAAAAGGAAGGGTAAAACAATATAGAACATCCGGTTTTTTCGCATATATAGTTATAAAAAAGAATCTCCACAAATTTCTTTGTTTTTTCTCTTCTAGCATAAGAATATGAAATTTTTAACATTATTCTAATTCCATTGTAAATTTGTCAAAAATAGCATTTACTTAATCCGTATAATCATAAGATCTTTGTAACTCATTGAAGTAATTAACAAGTATTAATTTTTATATCAATTTAATTTGTATAAATTAACCATATACAGAATCATTACACTAGTAGTAGAGTATTTTCACTTGTTGTTACCGATAAAACTTGCTTATTTTTCATATTAATTACAACTAATAACACTTTTTATGTATAAATTGCTTATTACAATTAATTTTATAAGAAGGATAGATTGGTCAGATGCATATTAATAAACAGGGTTTGAAGATTATAGATTCCAAATTATAGCCTTTTTTTGTAATTTTTACTTATTAAATGAATCTTTTTCAGACACTAATAAATGACCTGAAACTAATTAACTCGTGCATATATATAGTAGATATGGTGTTCCCTTGACTTCTTGGTATGTATTTACTTCTCCTTAATCAGTGAAAATCCCGACTTTGCCTCTGAAGTAGAAATTAAATTAATTTCATATTTTTTGTATATGCAGGCTGATAAGTCTACCATTGTTGAGAAAGCAGTGAACTACATCCTAAAACTGCAGAATACTTTTGAGAAGCTTGAACAGGAAAAACTAGAAAGGCTTCAAGAACATAGCATAAGGTTGATGAGTTCACAGAAATTCACAAATGCTGGTAATAGTTGGGAGAAATATCTGGGTGATCAAGGATCAACACGTAATTCATCCGCTATTACACCAACAACTCATGGTGCTAGTCCCCTTATGGTGAATAATAACATTCCAACAGGTTTTATGACATGGAGTTCACCAAACGTGATACTAAATGTTTGTGGTGAAGATGCACATATTAGTGTGTGTTCTCCGAAGAAGTCAGGGCTATTCACATTCATTTGTTATGTTTTGGGGAAACATAAGATTGAGATTGTGTGTGCTCAAGTTTCATCTGATCAATTCAGAAGCATGTTCATGATCCAAGCTCATGTAAGTCCTTTCATTTTCTTCAAAATAATATGTTGGTCATTTTGAAGATTGTGAACTAGGGTTTTTAGTTAACATACTCTCCGATTTACTTTACGTGTCTTTGTTTGAGTGATCAGGAAATTAAATAATGACACACGTTGGGAAATTTTTTGATTTAAAATTAAGGGTGTTTGAGAAATAGTTGTTTTTTTCTTTCACAAGTCTCACGTCTAATTAAACATTATCTTCACATAAAATGAAGGTAAAAAATGTATATCTATCTTCTTCTTTTTTTAAAATGCCTCCTCTCACCTAGTTTCACCTTGAGGTTGAAACTTTCTATTTGCTACTACATACAGTATAGTCATAGATTATGTTTAAAAATTATTAAAATTGTTTTACCTGAGTGGAGTGTCTAACAGAAATAGTCTTTCTACTTTTACAAGATCATATGGGTAATCATGTGTATATATTACTCTCTTCAGACCTCACTTGTAAGATTTTACTGAATATATTATTGTTGTTGTTATTTGCTTGGTTCTAAAAACATGTTTTATGTATATTCAGGCTAAAGGTGGAACTGGCATAGCTCAATTCTCCGAAGCATCCACAGTGGAAGAAATGTACAAGCAAGCTGTAATTGAGATAATGTCATTTGCAACCCCCAAATGATCTGTATCAATTTCATCAACCAAATTCAACAAGGGTCATCATATTTAGTTTCAAAGTTCATCCGATAGAGGATGGACGACTGTTGCCGTAAAGGCCATGATGAATGGTTGTGGCCGTAAAGGCTATTTTATTTATATTTGTATTTCTTTGTCTGTCACCGTATAGGCATATTTACTTTATAGTTCATTAGATAAAGGATTAATGGATGTGGCCGTAAATGCTATTTTATTTACTTTTTCATTTCATCCAGTGGAGGATGAACGTCTATCACCGAGTCGGAGGAATGAAAACTGTGGAATTTGGTCCCATTAAGTTTCTTCCAATTGGACATGCACTTCACATTTATCGTGCGCCTAGAGAGGCTTATTGGTATGTGTCGGGTGTATATATCTACTTAACGTAAAGCTTCCTGCACAGCTGCAACATAACATTGCTGCCAATTTCTCTGTTTTACACTTTTCTGCCAAGTTGCTGCCAGTTTCTCTGTTTTACACTTTTCTGCTAAGTTTTGATGTATCTGAAAGTTTTTCTAATAGATTATATTTCCATGTTATCAAGTTCATCCTATTCTTTTTCCCGATTCCATTGCTCTATTCTTGCACGCCTCTCTTCACTGTCATCCCTAACTGGAATTCGATCTCTCCTGCCACCGGGACTCCTACTTCTACCCCTCATGTGGTCAGGGATTGTACTTCTGTTCATCCTGCTACGAATCTCATAATAATGATCCCTTTCATCATACTTTCTACTATGACTCTTGTGAGAGCTGTCTTCATAGCTGCGATGCCTCAAAGGGCTTTGGCTCATGCTTCTGCTATGCCTTCTCCTAAACCTTCCAAAGAACTTATTTCGCAATTCCCTGCCGATCTTTTTAAGGTGCATAAAGTTGCAATAGCCACGTTAAAATTCCTTGTGGTTTCTTATCAACAACCACTATAGCCGAGCTTGTTTGAGATTCAAACTTCTTTTTTGCTGCGTCTAAAACAGTATCGTTGACTCAACTGTTACAGTTCTGGAAACACCATAAAAAACTGCTGGTGACTTGCAGAAAATCTATTTTCTGTTATATTCTTTAGGAGATTAAAAGTGAAGATATTACCTACTTTGGATTTTTAGAAATGATTGTAGAGAAAAAAGGTTAACAAATGTCACTTGCAATGACCATCAATGAGTTACATGAACTGGGAAAAGTCATCAGTAACACTAGACAAAATGTTTGAATACCAACCAGAAACAGGCCAGGTTTTTTCAACTCCCTCAACGGCGTGCAACTACAAATGCCTTTCCTTTCTCTGCTGCCCTTTCAAGGCGAATCAGGTCTTTGATACATATTTAAGAGGAGAATAGTAGGACTAATAGTGGGTTTCGTGTGGAGCCTCAAATATTGATCGCCATGATATATATTTGTGAATGTTTCGTCAGTTAGTTCCAGATGATATTTATTTCACACAAGAGATTTCTGCCCTGTTTTTGTTCATTGCAGATGTTATATATTTAGTTGTAAATCTTTAAAATAGATATTAGATTCTCAGTTAGAGCATCTCAAAGTTTTTCTAATGGATTTTTTTCTTATTTTCTTACAGCTTTTGTTGATCGATGTTTCTGGATAACACTCGATGAAGATTAGAACTTTTATTTTTTTTGCCTAGTTTTTGTTCATTGTTATGTGCAAGATACAAGTTTAGAAGAAGGTGAATGAGATCAATATTAGTTTGCTACAAATTTAATGCAAAACTTGATGTTAGTCTAACTCGAAAGTTAGCTATGTTTTTTTGTTAAACAAATATTGAAACCAATGATCATGGATGTCAACTAGTTTATTGTAATGAATTGCTTTCTTTACATATGTCATATTGTCTCTGTCTCTTCTCTATATATATTGAAACGACCCCTCCGGATTCAAGATTCAATCTCAAGCAATTCTCCATTCCAATCTTCATCAAGAATTCTCCAAAGTTGAGGTATGTGGGTTGATTGTGGAAACCTTCCTTTCCACAAGTCCAACCATTTATCCTCTATTTTACTTCAAGTTTATGGGTCCTTATGATCATTTATGAACTCTTGAATTATGGAATTATTACTACACATCCTATTATGGTCTATTTTTGTATATTATCATGAAATGGAATGATTATATGATGTTTATGGTTTTCATGCCTCAATGATCAAATTATGAAGGTTGTTATATATGTATATATATATGTATGTTGTTGGTGGGCTGTTTTATATGGATTTTGAAATTGGTTGGACTTAGTACTCTTGAAACACATGATTTTATTTACATGAACAAGTAGCCCACCATATGTTTGATAAAATGCCATTTATAGAATTCTTATGAAATGGAAGGTCCAATGTACGTCCTATGAGTCGGATGATTATATAAGTATTGAAATGATGATGAAATGGACACATATATATGATTTTCTCTATATATGTGTTGTGAGTCGACCAAGCCTAGTACGGGGGGTAGTAGGCCCGTATAACCGTATCGAGGGGTTGGTACCTTGGTTGCCTAGTACGGGGGGTAGTAGGCCCGTATAACCGTATCGAGGGGTTGGTACCTTGGTTGCCTAGTACGGGGGGTAGTAGGCCCGTATAACCGTATCGAGGGGTTGGTACCTTGGTTGCCTAGTACGGGGGGTAGTAGGCCCGTATAACCGTATCGAGGGGTTGGTACCTTGGTTGCCTAGTACGGGGGGTAGTAGGCCCGTATAACCGTATCGAGGGGTTGGTACCTTGGTTGCCTAGTACGGGGGGTAGTAGGCCCGTATAACCGTATCGAGGGGTTGGTACCTTGGTTGCCTAGTACGGGGGGTAGTAGGCCCGTATAACCGTATCGAGGGGTTGGTACCTTGGTTGCCTAGTACGGGGGGTAGTAGGCCCGTATAACCGTATCGAGGGGTTGGTACCTTGGTTGCCTAGTACGGGGGGTAGTAGGCCCGTATAACCGTATCGAGGGGTTGGTACCTTGGTTGCCTAGTACGGGGGGTAGTAGGCCCGTATAACCATATCGAGGGGTTTGTACCTTGGTCCCTAGCTCGGGGGGTGGTAGGCCCGGGTAACCACATTGAGGGGTTTGTACCTCTTTCGCCTCTCCAAGGGGGTGGTAGGCCTTGGAAATACTATATTGATGGTCACTCACCACACTTGTGCTACGTCCCACTAAATATGATTTTTATGTAAGCGTCATTATATATATCATTTCATTAATGTGCTATCTATCGGGTATGATTATGCATTTTTCCTATGATGTCCATCTATTGTAGCATTGCATTGCATCCCATATACTTAGTACATTCAAACGTACTAACGCATACTCTATGCCTACATGATGTCACCATGTAGGGACCGGAGCACCGCTTGACCATCCTCCTCCGCGTGGCTAATGCGATTTTCTATCGAGGTTATTGGTGAGTCCTCCATTCCGGGGATGTTGCTCATGATCTTTTGGTATGGTCAACACTTTTCTTTTTAGTTATGTTTTGACTATGAGGGTGAGCCCGGTAGTTTGTCTTGGCCCCCGCTAAGTATTCATGTTTAGAGGTGGTGTTGGACAAGTTGTGTATTATGCTTGAGCTTGACTCATCTATGGTATTTATGTATCATTTCTTCTTTTTTTATCTCTTGCTCCCTTAGTCCCGATTTCCCCCCTTTCGATTATGCTTATTGCTCATGGTCATTTAATTGCTTCTGCGACCAAGGATGTGTAATGATACGCTATGAGGCTTGTTTGGGGTTCCTTCGGGTTCCCCATTCGCCAGTCACGTCTAGGCCCTAGGCTTGGGTCGTGACATATATCATCTTTTCATAGAGAAATTTTTAGTAGCCATTCGATTTGTTGATGAAATGTATTAGTGCTCAATCTAGGACAATAATTATTTCTGGTCTCTAAAGGCCAATCTTTGTCCACTCTTGCTGCTCGTCTCTAATGCTATTCTAGGACGGGGTTGTTGATAGTCGCCAAAGGTATTCTAGGACGGGATTGGTGAGTCGCTATAGGTATTTCTAAGACCAGATAGTTCTCGTCTTTAAAGCAATTCTAAGGACAGGTCTTTAATGGTCGCTAGGGATTACTAGGACCAGATCTATATCGTCTCTAAAGATTATTACGACTAGTTTTTGGTGGTTGTTTTAGTTTTTTACCGACCTGAAAAACTTATTTCCCAAGATATTTTTGGTCTATTTGAGACCAGAATTGACGTCCCTAAAGGTATTTCGCGACCAGACAGGATCCCCGTCCCAAAAACATTTAACGACTGGTTTCTTTGTCCCATCCTTGTTGAGCGATAGCGAAGGAAGCTTTTAGGACGGGTGGCGACCAGATTTTTCAGGTCTCAAATGCTCGTTTGGGACTAGATTTCGACTTTCAGGGACCAGATTTCCCTTCCTTAGAGACTGTTTTTCTTGTAGTGCAATGATATTTATAAATAGCAAAAATCTTGGTATTGGCATATGTTTATGTATTTGCTTTAAGGGTGTGTTTGGTATGGATTTATGTTTATCAACTCCAAGAACCAACTTCTATTTTCCAACTCTCACCTTATTTTTTTATATATATAAAACAACAAACATTTTTTTTTAAAAAAAGTTACATCGTAGGAGTACTTTTGTTTTACTTCTTAGAATTCAAATATGTCGAGTTATCAAACATGAATCATATTTGTAATTATGATTTTCTTAAAATTTAAGGCCTGTCAATAAAATTTATTTGACTTTAGAGCGCTTATAATATTTTGAGCCGCTCCTGATCCTCAACTATCACTCTTTAGTGTTTTTCTAAATTATGTATAAATATTCTTGAGCCAATTTTTTTTTTCTTACCTACCAAATAGCACAAATAAGCAAGAAACTGAAATTACTCATTTTTACTCCCCAGCTTTTCTAAAGAGGGTAAAGAACCCCTCCCCCCCCCCCCCCCAAACGAAAAAGTTATGTTTGTCTCTTTTCATATTAAAAAACGAAGATACCGCTTTAAGAAAGTTATTTAAATTTTGTTATGT